AATAGCACTGTTGTGCAGTTCCTATTTCACCTATCGAAGAATGGTGACTATGCTGAAACATATTATGTTTATATTGAGAAAGGGGGTGGGTCCATTGTATTCGAGGTATTGATCTCTCTGCTCTCACAGTGCAACATCTGTTGTAATAAGTATTATTAGAAAGATGTTTTAGAGCATATGTATTACTAATAATAATATGTATTATTAGAATGATGTTTTAGAGCATTTAGCGATTTCCAAGTTGTGACGTTGTTTGTGATGCTGTATGTACTTGGGCAGTGTTTTTTTTTTTATGATTTCACCATGAAAACATCTTTATACACCATAATAAACCCCTATGTAATGTATGTGTAATCACTATTTGTCAAATTCCACTATAAATCATTGTATTTGCAGACTATCGGATCACTAGCGTCATATGATTTGAAGAAGGGCCCAACTCGCAAAAATGCTTTTATTGTTGCCATGGAGATAAAAATTTAATAGTTTTACAAGTTCATATAATGCAAGTACATGCATTATAAGTCTCTGAAAATGAAAACAAATAATAAATAAAAATGACAGAATTGTTAACTTTTGTTATTTTTACTCAAAAACAATTGTAATGGAGTTAGGCCCTTCTTTCATTCAGGTATTCATATGTATTATGTGAATGCTATTTGGTTTACAGTCTTCATGTTAGATAAGCCTTAAGGGGCAGCACATACATTGTATGACTATCTGTGAGCAGCTGCACCTACCTCTGTTTTACTACTGTACGTTGTACAATTTGTCGTTATTAAAATGACATATTATCATCATATACATGGGTGTTTGATTTTGCGTAGCGTGGGCTTGCGTGTCTGTCGTGTAATGCAAAAATTATGTTTTCCAAACCGACAAGGAAAAAGCTATTTGCATCACATAGCAGCTCAAATTTCCGTACCTACTCTAAGGCAAGTAGTCTTTAGGGGTATGGCCCTAATGAATATGCATAGTTCGGACAGGAGACATGACAACCCTTTACGGGTTCTTAAATTAGCCTTTTGCCTTGTAGCCTTAGTGCACATCGTTTGTTCGATATGGAATTCTATTTCCCACCACCTCCCCAATCCCCACTTGAATACAGGATGTATTCAAGTAAATACAGGATGTAAGCTGTGCTTTGATGCATTTGGCCCCAAACACTTTCTGGTACTTAATCAATATTTTATTCCACAATGGATTAAGCAACGTTTACAATACAATACAATTATGTATAATATTTTTGATATATGTGGGTGGAAGAGCTAGTAACCTATCTATCTTATGACCAATGTCATCCGCTATTATCACCAAGAAATGCTCACATATCCTAACTTAAAACAAGACAGGTTCAAGAACGAGGACATTATGCATTATGGTGTCGGATTTTCGCAATATTGGATAATTGGAGCTACAAGTCGTGCCAAAACAGTGAAGTATCGTTGGGTGAAATGCAAAGATTTTGATCATGATGTTGATCCACAACTGATGACTGACCTTCCAAAAGTAAGAATGGCTCCTTTCACAAACCATTCTACTATACGGCCTGCGATTATTTTGGACCAGTTATCCCAGTTGTTAAACTGGGACGAAATAAGACAGCTAAACACTATGGTGTGACATTTACATGCTTTAACACTCAAGCGGTACATTTAGCAGTTGCCACTGATTGCTCTACAATGGAATTCCTGTCTGTTGTGGACATTTCTTTATAATTATGGGAAGACCGAAGATGATCCAAAGTGATAATGGCACGCAGTTTGTTGGGCATTAAACCCAAAATTAAAACGGCGACAAGAGGCAGAGGCATAAAGAGGCAGAGGCATAAGAAGTAGTTTATTGGGGTATAGAAGAGGACCTAAAAGGTCGAAATATAATAGTGCTATTCGCTACCTGATTAATAACCTTGACATTTTAAATTGTATTATTCATCTGAATATCCAAAATTTTAGTAGTCATTACTTTTTAAACTATTTTATGCGATTTAGGCCTGACTTTATGTGCAATCAGATTTTCCTTGTGTGTTGTGTGTTATTATATAAAATATTAAATGTTTTCAGAGTAATTATAAATTATTAATATTTTTTTCTTTAACCATGTTTGTATTTTTACAATGCTACATTCATTAATACAGATCATGCCCTATGGTTAAGGGTGACACTACATAAGGCTGTTAGAAAGCTTCAGTTCATTGAATAAATGTAGTCATTTCCTAACCTCCTGCTATTTTTGTATTTCATTTACTTACCCTGTTTCGTTCCCGTTTTTCGTAAGCTGTGGACTTTCTTTTCTTGACTGGTGGCCTTTCTCCCGGCGACCCTGGGTATTTAGGTTTTTCAAAAACCGTGGGAATTGCACCCTTAAAGCCCCATTCCCGGCAAAATTTCACTAAAAATGACTTTTTTTTTTTTATAGAAAATACGCATTTGATTTACTCCAATTATTATAAATCATGGAAAAATATTGGCATGAATTTTAGTTTTACGCAAAAGAATAAAAAAAAAAGAGAAATACAGACTATATCTCATAAAATATTACCATTTTCTCGACGAATTCATCGTTACTAGGCAAATTCAGAGGTTGTAGATCGCATCCACTGGAATACCCTCGCTTTTATGTATACTTTATACGGTCAATAAAGTGCGCCCTCTCTAATGAGATTACTTTTTGTACTTCGCATCTCGCACAATGCGGTCGTTCGGTTAGGCTGAGATATGTTTGTTTAAGTGTCAAAATCTCAGTCAGAATCAGTTTTTTAACAAATTTGAAATAATTCCTATGAAATATTATATTTCACAAGTGTCAATACTAGCAACGGAAAATATCATGTCGGCCGTTTTTATGTGTGATAACAGAACCTAAAATCGAGGTAAAGCTAGGCTTAGCCAGCAGCGTTGGATAGGCTAATGTTTTCGGCGCCTACGATATTTCTTCTCACGACCTATCGCAAAATCAACATGAAAAATTCATCCGCATTTATTTTTTGTGTGGAACACAAAAAATCCTAAAAAAATACCCAGGGTCGCCGGGAGAAAGGCCACCAGTCTTATTTTACATTTTTTTCATTCTTAGGAATATCTAAATTCAGTTAAACTAGCAATTCCGTATTATATTTATAAATCTTTATAACATTATACAAAAATTAGATTTTTCTTAAAAATTGAAATTTTGCCGGGAATGGGGCTTTAACTAGGCGTTTTTTAATTTTCCCCACGACTCCCAAGTAGTTGCCTATGCTGGACTTCATTTCAAAGCATTCTGCCTCAAAATGCCGTCCGCACAGCACCGAATGCTTGGTGGGCTGCCAGTCGGCCCTTGAAATACCGACAGCCTGTATCCATTTCTTCCTCTGGGTTGTTTCAGTAGGAAACGGGTGAAAACTAACCCCATTTAAGTGGGTCGTTTTGCACCCAATTGCAACACAACGCATACCAACACCATTAAGTAGACGGTAATTCGATAGTAGGTAGACGAATCTGACTTCAAAATAGAACTTCGCGACAATCAAAACAAACCGCGATTAGAGACAAGTTGAGACAAGACAATTAGGAGCCGGACAAGTCATGTGACACTATGACGTCGGTAACATTGTGAGGTTGGCGGGGCTTAAATGTTGAAAAATCGCTATAAATCATGATTTTTTAAAATTATGATAAACAGTGTGACTTTTATTTCCATATTAGACCGTGGGTTGAGGCTCGAAAATCGGCTTAGTTAATGAATTCTGTGACCCACCGATCCGGGCCACCTGGCATTCGTGAAAATGTCAATACTATTTTATCGTAACATAAAATGATTGTCGGCAATCGTGAATTTGGGGAAACTGTATCAAAAAATGAAAATTTATCTTCGAAAATGTAATGTTGTTCACGAAAAAAAAAGCCAATCACAGCACACTTACCATACCTGTTAATCAATGATGTAACGCTATTAGCCAATCACAAGCGTTCTTGTAAACCTGGTAACTAATGTAAACAATGTCGCGAGGAAAATTGCAGTGTGTACAATATTTTGGATGAGAGTTCTCCGATTTTAGTGGAATATTTCAATATAATATAAGTATACAGCCTTTAAATACAAGATATTGGTAATAGTAGTACAATTGTGGAGGTAGTACATTACAACTGCAGTCTTCTTCCGACTATCATAGCGTATTTCCTAGGCCTCTTTCCGGCGACTTTGTATAGTAGTAGGCCTATATAGATAGGTACTCAAACTGTATTGAATGTGTGTTAGCTAAGTAATACTAGGCCTATGTACGTTCGTAGAATTTGAGAATTCCTGTATATTACCTATCAGGACTACCTGACATTTTGAGACTGAATGAATGCATATAAAAGTTGATGATTTCAATAAGGAGGTGAGCAGATATGTAATATTTTATACCTCAGTTCAACTAACTAGTTCATTATCTCCCTGATCATTTATTAATATTGGTATGTAACCCAAATCAAATACACAACAGAGTGAACAAAGTGTAAGTTGAAACAACTTTATTTATAACAAAAATCTGAATACTTTTATGAATATTATTTACACATTGTAACACAGAGTAATTCATCTAACACATCATAACACCTTAGGGAGCTGCTTTACATAACTGTAGAGTTGAATCCAATCCATTTAAATGTGTGTTAAATACATAAATTGTTGTGTTAAATCAACATAACAGATACCAAAATGTGAATGCATACCAGCGTATCAATGCCAGGACATCAAGATACCAGTATTGTTTTTTACCTAGAACAATAATCGATTGGAACGAGCTATCCCAATCCCTAACTACCCTTCCAACCCTTGAACAATTTAAAGCCAAGTAAACACAAGACAACAAAAAGTAGTAAATATGTTGTTTAGTAAATCTTTAAAAGACATACTTGGCACAATAATGTAAATGTCTCTATTTGCATAATACTTTGAAATAGGATGGCCATAATATATTTACTAATTTCTGAACATGTTTAAAGTCCATCCAATATTCAATGGCTTTGTATTTATTTATTTACAAATCAGTTATAACTCGAATTAACCTAAAATTGAATGATTTACAAATTTTTAAGAATCAAATTTTATTAAATTCCAGTATGAAAATGAAATGCAGATGAAAAAATGCAGTATTAACTGATTTACACACATTTCTATGAAAAATTCTATAAAATAAGTGAAATGGACCATAATGTAATGTTAATGCTTCATATGGCCATTAAGAAAACTTTTAGTACATGTATAACATTTTTAGTGTTGTGCAAACGATATAATGTAATATTCAAACCTTCATTATTATAGTAATTCAGTCAAATGCAATTACAATAATGTTCTACAACAAATTCTTTGTCGTCATCATGAATCTCTTTTGTAGAGACAGGGTTTGCCACTGTGCATGCATCGACTTGTGGGTGCACCAAACACCACGCCGAGACAAGAACATCTGCCTTCATCTTGAACCTGAAGAATAAAAATAGAATGATTTACAAAATAACTGTTATATTCTATGAAATACAGATGAAAAAAATGCAGTATTAACTGATTTACACACATGTTTCTTTGACAAATTTTGGAACATAAGAGAATTGTTTTAGTATCAATTATCCTATAACAGAAGTGTGGGATTGTGCAAAGTATATGTGTATGGTATATATTATACAGTATTTATATTACCGTAATTCAATCAAATATAAGTACTGTACAATACTATTGTTCTTCAACAAATTCTTCATCGTCATCTTCCTCATCATCATCGTCGTCAGCATCATGAATATCTTCAGTAGAGACAGGGTTTTGACACTCTGTGCATTTGCATAGACTTGTGCAACAAACACCATGCTGACGACAAGAAAATCTACCTTTACTTGAACCTGAAGGTTTACAGCAATTGGATTTTTACAGGAACAATATGTTAGTTCAAGTAAACTGCTAGGTGCTGGGGCAAGATCTCCCCAATTTAGGACTAGTTCCTTATCCAACAGTTTCCATCCTTGTCCAATAGGACTAGGTATGTCTCGATACTGCTCTAAGCATCGAGTGTGCACAGCTGCTTGATAATTGGCCCTCAGAGTATGCTTTCTTAATAAGTCGGTTGTTGGTGGCAGACGTGCATCGGATTTAGTCAACAGCAGGAACAAATTATACCGTGCCTGATTTACAGATGAACAATCTTGACCATACATTTCGCAGACAAACCTCTCTAAATCTTTAAAAAGATCATCTTTAACACTAAATGAGGTGCCCAACCGCTTAAAAACAGATCTGTATTGGTCACTTTCAGAAAACAGCTTGAAGGGCTTTTTCTTTGACTTACCATGAAATGCACTTACCGAGTCGCAACCTGTGAAACAATGGAAAGCGATAAGGCCATCACTTACTTCATCTCCTAGCGTCTTGCTTATTGCTGATAAGCTAAGTGTTCTTCTCTTATTTCCTTTTCCAGTATGAAATAGGAGGACTGAATCAATTATCCTTGCTTTGGCCACACCTATCACAAACACACGTGTCTGGGCTTCTGATTATAACTGACTTTGACTGCTGTATTTTTGCTGCATACTGGCAGTGCAGGAACAATCGCATGTCTGCCTCTTCATGGAAACAAAACAGGTCAGGTACTGGACGTACAACCATTTTACCATCAACATCTATAAGTTCATGACACTCGCTGTCATGGGTCACAAAAACACTAACTTTCTTCAGAGAGGTAGAAGGTCTTCCACTCCATGTCTTAAAAACAAAAATTTGATTAATGCTGTCTTGTTATCACTACATGAAAGAAACTTTTTCCATTGTTGTGGCACCCTCTGATCTTGACCATAGATTGATGTTATGACTTGGCCACTGGTTGCACGCCTCTCTCTTTCACAATTCTTTATGGATACATCTCTGTATGTGTCAATCACAAAGTGGATACTTTTACTGTGATTACTTAATGATAATTCCACAAGTTGTTTAAAAATAAAATCTGCAAGTAAACCAAATGTTGCAGGTATCCGTTGCTGGGGAAGTTCTTGAATTAATGCCATACCATCTATTACCCAAACACTCCCTGCTGGAATAGAAGAAACTGGTGATGGTTGGACTTGTGATTCTATACTATGGAGCAAGCTTGACTTGGCTGTTTTGTTAATTATACCATCTGGTGTTGCCAGAGACAAAAGGAAAGGGGCCTAAGTTGTATGTTAACATATTTGGTAGATCCAACTTCCTAACACTTGCAATAATTAGAAGTCGCTGGAAGAGATTCCGATCAGCTTGAAGTACTACTTCTTTACCTCCAACTTTTGATTTGCATACTTTTTGCATTGCTTGAAAAGTCTTTGTTTTTTATTTCTTCATTGATTTGAAGATATCTTGATCTCCCTGAAGACAATTCTTAGAGTAATCCATGAAAGATTCATTCCATTTTTTCCATGCCCAATGTAATCTGTAGTCACTTCCTTTGATGCAAAAATAATGTAATGTGAACTAACTGATCGTTTGATTCCTCAAATGGATTGATCATACCGTCCACCACACTGACTACTGCTTTAATTTGCTCTTCTTCCTTTTTTACGTGTGAAGGTTGTAAATCTTTTTGGCCTGATTTTCCTGTGCATCTATTAGCCATCACCTCACAACTTTTGGAAATCAATGATCTTTCTTGATGGGATAGAATCCATCTAGCAACTGCTGTCTTGTTTCTGGTTATGCCTATCATACCCCCTTTTGTTTTGGTGTCCCTATTGCATGTTTGTTCTATTGTTTGGTCACAAGCTACTTGAGAGAAGCCATGGGTATCTTGACGTTGAACACCAAATCGCCCATTCTTAAGCGCTCTATGAACCGCAGGGTGAGTTACAGGGAGGTCGCACATCTCTAACCAGTGGACAGGCAAATATCTTGCATAATTAACATGGTCGTAAGCAAATAGCCATGGTATAAATGATCGGATACAGGACAGGTGTAAGTCCCAGTTTCCTTCTCGGGTTGCTCTGATTAAAAGTAGCACATTCTCGACCATTTCAATATATGATGACCATACAGCAAATGTTGGGACGTCAGCAGACTGTCGTTCAACATATCTTTCATACAAGGAGATCACATCACTAAACCTATCAGCTTTGATAAATGATTTAATTGGCTTATCTTGAAACGATGCTTTTAAGTCTGTCACTGTATCTAAAATTCTATCTCTATCATCATCACAAAGTGAATCAACAAAACTTTCCCAGCGAAGACGTTCAAAGGCTTCCACCATGCATTTATGCATTCGAATGGACCTATTGTAGTGATGACCATTCATTGTTCGATTCAATGAGCCTTGAGCAACAACCCCTGCCTCAATTGCAATATTTTCTAAGCCGGCATCCCGGAAACGCTTACCAATGCAGGCTAACATTGCTGAGGCTGTGTGAAAAGCTCCAAGTCGAATTACCAGCCTATCCCTAAATAAGTCTTTCTGCCATCTGATCTGCCGCGCCTTTGCATAAATTGCCTGATCAAATACAACCACTATTTCATGCTTATTTGAAGAATCAGCAATCTCAATGCTCTTTTCTAGAATGGTGTATACTGTGTCGTATTCAGTTGGGCTTGCATCAATTATTGGTAGATAACCAACAGTAGAAACAGTTGGTATATTGGTTTGGTTTAATAAGGAGTTGAAACCTGTCCACCCAGGAATAAGCTGATCAGATACATCAGTCTTCATAATCCGCATAGCTAGATCTAAATTCCTTGAATACCTCTGACATACATTATGGCTCTCAACTTCAACACATACATCTTTAGCATAAGCTTGTGGACCATAACGTTTCTGCCCATGAAATTTCCTGATACCAGGAGATGTTGGCTGTAATGACCTCTCATGAGTTCGTGGAAAAGAAAGTGAATGCTGGGATTCAGTCACATCCCTTTTTGAAGGCCATTGAATCAGAACACCATTAGTATTATGAGTGGTTCCTTTTCCTGTTAGTGTTTCCTCACCGAAATCATTATTGTCCCAAACAACTGTACTACAAATGTGTTGAGTTCCAGCTGGAAGGATGTTGCGTCCAAGTGTAATTTGTCTTTTTGCAATAGCAGTATCATGCTCCAGGGTAAATGTATGCCCTACACAATGCCCAAAACCATTTAACAATCCAACCAACCTTGCTGAGCCTGTAAGATGTCTCACTGCCATTGCGAGAGAAGTGTGTTTGGGCAGCAAAAGTCTTCCTCTTGTTTTCAGGTATAACATGTCTTGTGCAATTGATAGTAAACGATGTTTTACATTATCCGGCACATCAACCTTCACTTCGGCAACAGGATCTGTAATCATACCAGTACACCATGCCAGAAAATTGTATAACTTGTCTGGAACAATTTCAGCAGCTCTTTCTAATGTCATGTCTTTAGAGGTCGGAGGCCATATTGTAGTATTTGCTACAGCATCCATGCACATCTTAAGGTCTATTGCAGTATGATACAAATCCCTAACAGTTTGTGACTGCACTGGTAAGCTAGGTGGGTTATTGGAGTTGCCACTATCCTCACTATCCTCACTGGAGACATCTTTAACTACACTCTCAACTACATCTTCAATAGCAAGGGTCTCGGTAAAAACGATTTCACTTTCAAATCTTTTAGAGGGCTGACTAAAACACAAAACAGGGTGTGATTTCCACATTCTCTCTTTCAAGCGCCCTGTCTTGTAGGATGATGCATCCTCACATTCAACATCCATTACCTCTTTGACAAATAATTGCTTCATATGTACAAGTCTAAGTATTTCTTTCTGTTTTATAATTCTTCCCTCTACAACCTTATTACGACATTTTTGTGTAAATGCCAGGTAGCCCGGATCGGTGGGTCACAGAATTGAACGTTTTCGAGCCTCAACCCACGGTCTACTATCTGTCTCTTATACACATCATCTAGCCTCAATTGCCACAAGATCCTTATCCCTGATATCTAATAAAAGGGAATCATCTTGCTTTGCAACAGCAGCCTCAATTAACTTCCCACCACTTAACGTTTCACATCTGACTAATTTTTCAGGAACTTTTGCTCTATTAAATGTACCTTTAATATACTGCATCCTTTTACAAATGATGCATTGCGCCGGCAGAACATGACTTCGGCGAGGAAGTACTTCTACTTGTTGATTTCTGCTTTCGGATGTCGTAGAACGAAGAATTCAGTTTGGCTTTGGTTTAACAATCTGTGGACCTTCAATTTCCATACCACTTGATTTTGTGGATTCCTCTTTATGTAAAGGAAAAAAGTATGAGAGTTCTGGTACTGTGAAACATAATTATACAAACTAATTCAAAGAGCATTATCAAGGTTAATGTTGGTTTTAATTATTTCATTTTAATCAAAGTCTGTTCTAGCATGCGGTATAAGTAGTAGCATAAATGAAGAATAAACGTGGGTGATAATTGTAGAAAAACTGACCTAAATGTTTGATAAATATTACTATAATTCGCTATATTTTTATGCTGTGTCAATTGGTTATGGTTTTCTGTGTGGATGAGGCATAACATTATGCATTGTCATTATAACTTTGTAGATGTGTATAAGAGACAGGGCTATTATTGATCTTAATGTTGTAATAGTAACAATATAACAAAGTTATAATGACAATGCATAATGTTATGCCTCATCCACACAGAAAACCATAACCTATTGACACAGCATAAAAATATAGTGAATTATAGTAATATTTATCAAACATTTAGGTTAGTTTTTCTACAATTATCACCCACGTTTATTCTTGATTTATGCTACTACTTATACTGCATGCTAGAAC